TAACTGTGGCTGTTCTTTTGCAAAAATTTCTTACGTCTTGGTTTTAGATGTTATTGCATATAGCACGAATCTTAAAGGTCTTATTAACAAAATCAAACCTGAAGCCAGGTATTGGGGTGAATGCTGGAAGATCAGAGAAGTAGAACAAGCCACAGCTTCCTCACCTCGCCAGTTCCTCAGCTGATCCTGTTTCCTCAGACTGGAAGCCTCTGTGTCCTCATCCAAATGGATCTCAGCTGAACTGTTACTCAAAAGCCTAAAAGCTTAACAGGCTCTAGTTCCTGGTCCTCACACCTTATATACCTTTCTGCCATCACTTCCTGGGATTAAAGACCTGTGTCACCATGCCTGGCTGTTTCCACTGTGGCTTTGAACTCACAGAGATCCACATGGATCTCTGGCTCCAGAATGCTAGGATTAAAGGTGTGTGAGTGCCACCATTTTCTGGCCTATATATCTAGTGGCTGTTCTGTTCTCTGACCCCAGATAAGTTTATTAAGGTGCACAATATATTGGGGGACACAATATCACCACAACTGTATTTTTACTTTTAAAGTATTGTTATTATTAATTGTGTGTGTGTGTGTGTGTGTGTGTGTGTGTGTGTGTGTGTGTGTGTGTGTGTTTATGGTGGTTTGAATAAGAAGGGCCCCTATGGACTCATATTTGAATGCTTAGTCACCAGGAAGTGGCACTGTTTGAAAGGATTAGCAGGATTAGGGGATGTGGCCTTGTTCAAGGTGGCCTTGTTCAAGGTGGCCTTTGAGGTTTCAAAAACCCATGCCAATCCCAGTGTCTTTCTCTCTGCCTGTGGATCCTTGATACAGAACTCTCAGCTACTTCCACAACGCCATATCCGCCTGTATGCCTTCCCTCTTTCCACCACGGTGACAATGGACTAACATCCGAAGTTGTAAGCAAGCCCCAGATTAAGTGCTTTCCTTTTTGACTTGGTCATGGTGTCTCTTCATAGCAACAGAACAGTGACCGAAACAGTGGTACTAGGTACTGAGCTGGGATTGTGCACACACTGGGCAAGAGCTCTGCCACTAACTTTGGCTGTGCTTATGATCCTCCTGCCTCAGCCTCCCAAGGAGCTGGGATTACATGCCCATATTACCGGCCTAGCTTGGACTTTATTATCAATGCTACTTTTGAAGATCTCGTTTTCTGACAGTTTCTGCGGCACAGAACACAGCTTGAGATGACTCAGTGGGTACAGGGACTTGTCACCAAGCCCCATGACCTGAGTTGGCTGTTCTCTTCTGTCCTCTCATGACATTTGACATCGGAGAGGAAGCTGGCGGGTAATTTTGAAGCCTGCCCCCCAGGGGGCTTGCTGATGCCCCTCATCATTAGATCAGGGCTCAGCAGAGTGAGGCCAGGCCTCTCAGATCTCCATCCAGAACAGATCCCTCCCAACCCTCCATCAGCTTCCTTTCCTTCTGCTTGTCCCTCCTGGGGGCCATAGCCGGGGGCGCTGCCCACAGAATCCCAGGCCATGAAGCTGGCTGAGGATCTCTGTAGGCTAGGAATCCACACCACCCTGTGTGAGCTCACAGCAGCCGCATCTCACGGGGAGGACGGCGGCCATGCACCCGAGGATGCGGTTGTCCTAGTCCTGGCTCGGTCTCCCACAGGCCACAGGTGCTGTGGCTTTTCCTCTCCTGGGAGGCACCACCTCATGACCACAGGACTCTGAGACTCAGATCCAAGGGATCAACCAATTTTGGGGCACACAAAATGCCATCCAATGATGAAGTCTGGAGGGCTGACTTTTGAGCAAGGGCTCTCTGTGATCCTGCAGTCTCAGGTCGGAGCCAGCCCACAATGGACTCGAGGCTACCATCACTCTATTACCACAGCACCCACTGAAGCTTCCCACTGAAGCAAGATTAATAATATCCAACCTAAGACTGTATCAAGTAATTACACCTTTTAGTGCACCTGGCAATTTTTATCCAGCTGGTGCTAGCAGTCAATCAAAATGCCATAAAAGGGCTTCAGAATGTGCTAATGACTCGAGCACTCTGTCAGGCATCATGGGGGTGCATTCAACTCTTGGCACCAGAGTGGTGCATGGAACAGCCTTAGAGCTTATCCATACAACTCAGCTTCTCTAAGGGCTGTGCTTCTCCATATAGGCCAGCTTCTCTACACAGCACAGCTTTTTCTCTAGAGCTTAGCTTCTCCATCTACTTTATCTTTTCCACAGGGCTGGGCTTCTCTACAAAGCTGGGCTTTTCCACAGAGCTGGGCTTTCTTCTCCACACAGCTCAGCTTCTCTACAGATCTGGACTTCATACTGCCACAGAGCTGCCTTCCACATAGAGCCTTTTGAAACTTTTGAAAAGAGTCAGGCTCACCAACGCCAGCCAGGAAAGGAGACTAAGCTTGTGGCCCCCTCCGCCTGCCAGGAATAAGTGCCCTTTGACATGGAGGATAGCAAAGCATCCAGTGCCCCTCTCCAAATGCACATTGGCCCTGGAGACAGCAGCACACAGCAGCATGCCCCCAGTGCAGACTCGGGGCCATCAATGTGGCCGGGCAAGCACGGGATTTCACCCGTGTTAGTTACCACCGGCAAATACTGACGCCACATAGCTCTCTTAGGGTCTCTCACACCTGCCCATCCTCCTGTTGGGCTGTTGTGGTCCTTCATATGCCCAACATGGGGGAGCTCACTGACACTGGAGACCGTTGGGAGACATGGGTAGATGTGGTGGGTCACAGTTGAGGTCTCTCCAGGAACCCAGCCACAAGAGCAGAGGCAGAGCACAGTTACAGTCACAGAGGATTACGTACCAGGTGACCTGCTTCAGACAACAAGCGTGTGAAGATCATCTGGAAACCAGATGACTTTCTTTTTCTCAAAACCTAATTTATTTATTTATTTTATGTGCACTGGTGTTTTGCTTGCTTGTATGTCTGTGTGAGGGTGTCAGATCTTAGACTTACAGACAGTTGTGAGCTGCCATGTGGCTGCTGGGAACTGAACCCGGGTCCTGTAGAAGAGCAGTCGGTACTCTTAACTGCTGCGCCATCTCAGCCCTAATCAACTGACTCTCAATGTTCAGCCATAAAAACACAAAGCTACTGGATCATTTTAGTCCAGAAACGACTTGTCAGGTGCCCTGATCACCACGGTCACGTGTGCACCACCTGAGCCTCATAGGATAGAACATCCTTGGGGACAAGCACCCGGGCCAAGGCCAATGCTGCAGACAGCGTGGAGAAAGGGACTTAGCCTGTCATGGCCACGTGTATACACGTGCCCGCGGAGGCAAAAGGGACCCTCCTGTGGTGTTTCCTTCACTGAGGCTCACACCGTATGCAGGAACTCAGTAGAAGAGGGTGAAGAGGATGGGGATACTCATACTCTGCGAGCTTAGCGCATCTGAGAATAGGCTGCCTTCATCCACAGTGCAGGCGGTGTGCTAATCAGCTTTAACCATCATCGTGATACAGCCTAGAGTCACTGAAGAAGAGTGTTTCAGTGGAGGGATTTCCCAGATCAGAGCTGCCCACAGACATGTTTGTGGGGGGTTGTTGGACGACACAGGAGAGCCAACCCACAGCGGGCGGCTCCATCCCTAGGCAGGTGTTCCCGGGCTGTATAAGAAAGCTGGCTGAGCATGAGCTTCAGGGCAAGACAGAAAAGAGCATTCTTCTATGGTTTCAGTTCCTGCTCTGACTTTCCTCGGTGATGGATTATGAAGTGTATACCAATAAACTCCTTCTTCCCCTAAACTGCTTTTGGTCAATGTTTTATCTCAGCAACAAGAATCAAACCAGAACAGAGGATACGCGGTGCCGATTGAGCACCAGTTCTAGTCAAGATCGGGAGCCACGGAGACAGTGTAGGTTCCAGAGGGCTCACAGTACCCTGCACTGCAGTGGGAAGGCGGTGTCCCTCCAGAGCCAGAGCTGCCCCTGTGAGCATAGGAAGAGCCTCCCGCTGCTAAACAATACCCAGAACAGTCCTGAGGTCACCAGAAAAGCCTGAAAATCAGATCTGGGCAGTCAGAGGGAGATGCAGAGTGTTCTAGACTGAAGGAGGTCTTGGTTTGAAGAATCCTGCTCATATGAGAGCACCCTGCTCACATGATTCAGGGACCCATTCTTTGTGATAAACCTCTACTTCTCTGCATGCTTGGGTTGGTCCCCTCAGACAACATAAAAGTAAGCAGAGAGATCCATGTAGAGAGAACCTGCCCAGTAAGGCTGAAATATGGAAAAGCTAACACTGTGCAATTCTAGAAGAACAGAGATCTCATCAAAGAGTGGAAAACAGGGAAGCAAGCAGAGCCCCGTTCTCTGTATAACCCAGAGGTCAAAAGCAGACGCCTCACTCTCACTTTAAAGTTTCAAATCATGTGTCTGAAAGTTTCAGCAGTGCACATCGGTGGATGTAAAAGCATCAGGACACAGCAAGGATACAGGGGTGGGGTGGGAGGAGCAGCCTTGGATAGAGCAGCCCCAGAGCAGGCAAGGGCTGTTGACCACACAGGCTGTTAAATGACAGTCACGCTGGACTAGAAAAGTTTGAACACATCTGGCTTATGTGAGAGACACTCCTAGAAGCAAGCAAGCTGGGGACCCAACAAAAAGGTGAGGCTCACCAACACATCTCAATGGCACGTGACCTTCATCATTTTGAAATGACCTTGGAGACATCCAAGACATTCTGGGAGAGGACACGGCTCTTTCCCAAGTCTCCTCCGGGAAAGGACTCAGAGTTGTGGTTGCTTCCCACAGAAAATGGCTGTGAATGTGGCTGGTGGAACTGATGGAGTGGACTGTTCACGGCAGGCCACCCTGTGAAGTGGAGGACAGTGGGCAGGGCCAAGCTGACGTCAGGAGAGCAGTTACAGGTCAGCAAGGAGGCATCCAGGCTCCAGATGAGCCAGCTCAGCCCAGCCCAGCTCAGCCCAGCAGAGTTGCCCAGTGTGCTCTGAGGACATTATTCCCAAATACATTTACACGACAGTTCCACTTACCGCTCCAAGCATGATCCTGAAGATCAGCCAGCGGAAGCCCCACAGGACAATTCGGGATGTGGGGGTGTGCTTAGGGAGGCGGGACAGCGTCCAGAGAGGGCACAGAAAGATTCCCAGGAATCCTGTTTCCAGCAGCTGTGACTCCCATCCTGCAGTGGGGGGGTGGGGGGTGGGGTGGGGAGCAAGAGGAGACACAAAGAGGAAGGTCAGTGGGGTCAAGTGTTTACAAAGCAATCACCCCCAAAGTTCAGCCTGACCAAGAAGTCTTTAAAACGAGACTGAGACGTAAGACAAGCAAATGCCACCATGTGTCTTCATAGGAAACAAGTTGCAGATCTCTGAGTGGGGTAACCCAGAGCCTGAGACCAGGGAATTCTGCAACCCCAGGTTCCCTGCTTTTGAACAGGAAAGACCTGTGCTGCCCAGTTCAGATGATGGTCGCCATCCTGTGTGGGATGCAGCGTAAACATCATATCTGAACCCCACACTTGGGTGTGCACTGCCCATGGGCATTTGTGGAAAGCCTTTTGTTTTTAGGTTTATGTGAAAAATCACAGCTTTGCATGCCCTTCCCGAGGAAAGTTTGCCAGCACAGACGCAGGTACAACACACACCAACTCTGGGAGAGCGGCTCCCACTCAGGCCCGGGTCACTGAGTCAGGCAAAGCTGGCACCCAGGATCAGCAAACCCAGTGATGACTGAGCCCCCAGAGGGCAGACTGCTCTGTGTCTGTTGTGGACACTGGCTAGTCTTCCTGGGGGGACTCAGCACAGGAAATGCCATGAGGACAGCCCACAGGTGAGCCCTGCAGTCCCAAAGACTGAAAGGGGGAGTCCTGGGGCACAGAAGGCCCCACTGCTGGCATCGCCTCACCACCTAAGGGGTGGTGGTGACTCCCTCTCCCTGCAAGGTCTCAGGATGGCAGGCAGGGCTGTGCTAGCCCCTTGTGCTGACTCGTTCGCAGTGGCAGCAGGAACCGCACCCGTGCACGAGGAAGGGGCAGTCGGGAGGGGCGGCAGGAGGAAGCAGTGGAGGACAGAGGTGCAGGGAGCCCCTGTGCCGCTTTTGTATACGAGTCATTTTAGAATTAAAAGTTTATAAACTAGCTAATCATCACGACGTTATAATACCGCGTGAAGCAGGCACACACGAGTCTACACTGACGGAACCAACGGCTGACTTCACAGAGACTCAGGACCAGATGCAGATTTCCCAGAACAATGCCTCAGAGTGTCGGGTCACTGTCCTCTGTAGGTAGAGGCTGCAGGGCACCATCTTGCCATGGCATGGGGGTGGGGCCATCTACAGTGGCCATCCCAAGCGATCCAAGTCAACTCAGCGAGGTCTACAGTGTGTGTCACAGCAGGTGAAGGAGTTGCTACCGCTCCCAAACCCACATCAGCCTACCCCGGGGAAGACAAAAGCCAGGCCCCGTGGAGGGGTCTCCACTGACTCTGAGCAGCACATCTAACTATCCAGGCTTCAAAGCCAAGGGGAGACAAAAAGTGCCAGCCTGGAGCCGCTGAAATGTGGTGACTAAATGTCACCAGGGGTCCTGGGTCAGCAAAAGCCAACAAACAAAGAAAAATTTAAGGGAAACAGAGGAAATATGAATCGTGTGGGCATCAGTTAATTAGAAATGTGGCGAAGGTAGCGTATGAGTGTGAGGACTAACCACAAGGGATCTGGTGTCGAAATGTGGGAGCCAGGTATATTTTCATAATATCCCTGTAGATCTCAACAGCTCTAAAATAGAAAACCCATTCCCGACCATCAGCATCCTGTTGCTGTGCCCCACCCCCATGTACTCTGCATGCACCACCCTCCAAGGACTGCGCCCTAAGCCACAGGCTCTACTTGGCTTCGGGCCCCTTGCTAGGCCCCCATGGCGAGTCTGCTGGCCCCTCTCTGCCTGTGCTAGGGTCTTCATTGGTCCATTTCAACAGCTGTCTCCCTGGAAGCCATCCACTCGATGTGGAGGGCACAGCCAGCAAAGTGACAAGCCATAGGCTGGTCCCGACAGGCACTGCCTGCTCTGGGAGCTACCGTGGGACGGACAAGCGGTCACGATCAGGGCTTCAGTGAGTGCCGAAGCTGGGCTGTGGCCACAGCAGCTGGAACTTGCTGAGCTGGACAGCCACATGTGTCCTGTGGAGCTGGGCCTCTTGTGCCAAGTTTCCCTGCTCTTGGCACGAGTCCAAGGCTAAGCGTTTGTGAATTGTCACCAAAGGGCTGAGGGAGAGCTACAAACCCAGAAAAAAAACAGCAAGGCCCCCATTTAATGATTTAACACTGCCGTTTCTAAAATCTGGGATGGGATGGCTTCTGGGTCCCCTTGGCCTGGCTGCTTCTGCTGCTGTCCATACCCAGCGAAGGAGCTTGTGTTTCTCTGTGCATTGCATGATTTAATCTTGTCCTGCTGGCACTCAATAACGTGCTGAGCAATATCCGCGCCCCCAACAGTCCCCCCTTTCCACGTGAGGGCTTCCCCCTTGTACAACCATCCCTCTGGTTTTTCCTTGGGATAATTTATATCAATTTGGGATACATTTCACATGGCTGTGCCTGATACCCCGTGGAATTTCATGGTGGGAGTGTTTCGTGTCCGTGGATCAGGGGAAGCCTCTGGTAATCACCATGAGAGCCACGAGCAGCAACCATTTTGAGGAAGAACCTTAATGACCACCTCCTCCAATCCCCTCCTCTACTGGGCAAGTGAAAGAATTCAGAAGCCCGGAGGCCACAGAGCAAATCTAGGGCCACAGAGCGAGTCCACCCCATACCATATCGAGCGAGCTAAACCCCAGTTTGCCCCACACCCACCAAGCTGCCCACCCCTTGCTGGGACCCATTTGCTAGCCCTGGGGCAGGGTAGAGCTGGCACCGTGACAGATGCCACACACAGTCTCAGAGCTTTTAGGGGACACATTCCCCAGAGCTTAGAGCCTGCCTAATTGCCACCTCGATCTGCAGACATAGGAATGGAATTTTAACATGCAGCGCAGTGAGTGACACCAATCAAAGTGATTGATACACAATGGCAGAACCCAGAAATGCATCCGAGTGCCAAGAGAGGCAGGGTGACAGGGCTGGGGGTGGGGTGCATGACAGGGCAGGGCAGGGTGACAAGAGACAGGCTGTCTATGCCAGGGAGGAGGGTGCGTGTGAGACCCTCCCCCATGGCCCTCAGAGGGGATGGGACGTTCCTGTCCTACTTGGATAGAGATTGCTGAGCCAAGGCCTGGGGAGCTCTTCCAACTGGACCCTCTGCCTTGCCCCAGTTCATGGAATGGCTGTGGCCCACTGGGGCCTTCCTGACAGAAGCTGGGCCTGCCCTGGTGGCAGTGGCCTGTGACAAACACCCAGGGAAGGAAGGGTTGCTGCTCTCCCACCTGCTTGCCCTCTTTGCCTGGATCTGTGGTGTCTCAGCAGCTGCACCGTGTGCACAAGGAAGGCCATTGTTCCCGGCTTCAGCATGGCAGGAGATGAGTCCCCAGAAAAAAAATAAATAACCAGTGCATTGCCAGGGGCCGAGTGACCCAGTGAGGGTGGGTGGGTAGCTGGCCACTCTTGCCCAGTGTACCAAATTCTTATGCCGAGGACAGAGGGGTTGGCACCTTCCACAGGAGACAGACGGCTATAACCGTGGACAAGCACAACCCCGCGCAATTGCATTCCGAACGCCGCCCCCCCCCCCCCACCGCCTGTGCCTGTGAGCCAAGGCCTCTCTACAGGGGCAGCTAGGGAGGGTCTTGCCTACTGTCCAGGTCTCTGCAGACAGTTCTGTGCTTGCCTAGTTCATGCTTTGGGTAATAGGGGCACAAGCTCAACAGTGTCCTATCAGGCAGCTCCTGAGTGACAGCGCGGTGTGGACTGCTTTTATGTGGTGCCACACAGCTGGTTCTAGAATCTTCGCTTCAGTGTCTGCCTCTCATTTCCAGTCACACAGTTGAGCACTGAGCCAGTTGTACCTAGGAAGCTGTACATATGGAATGGAACCATACAACTTCTCAAAACAGCTTAGAGAAGTTCTCCATTCAGAGCTGTTTTTTGGGGGGTACAGGCAAAAGGCTTGGGTGGCTCCAGCAATCATCCTCACTGGATACCACAGATGAGATCAGATGCACCAGGGTATGCTCCTAAGAGGGAGTGAATGTCTCATGTGCTTACTGGGGGCATGCATGAAGCCTTGGGTAAGATCTCCAGCACAGCATCCATAGACTGAGCACCAATGTACATACTTGTAATTCTAGCACTCTGGAGAGAGCGGCAGCAGGATTAGGAATTCAAGGTCATCCTCAGCTACAGCGTGGGTTTAGGCCAGTTTGGACAACTTAGTGTATGTAATCCTGTTTCAAGAATAAGAGTCAGGTGAAGCTGGGAGGTGGTGGTGCACACCTTTAATCCCAGCACTCAAGAGGCAGAGGCAGGCGGATCTCTGAGTTTGAGACCAGCCTGGTCTACAGAGGGAGTTCTAGGATAGCCAGGACTACACAGAGAAACCCTGTCTAAAAACCAACAAAGCAGGGCGGTTAGAAGAGAGGGAGAAGAAACAATGCGGGGGTGGGTGGGGTAGGTGGAAGCAAGAATAAGAATGGGAGAGAGGAGAGAGGGGAAAACTACAACTATTTCAACACAAACTTCCCAGGAACATGGAAATGGCTTAGCTGACCAGTGGGGAAAGAAGGGTGTGTTATCACCGGGGGGAATGAGAGGCCAGGCAATCTGTCCACATCTCCATGCTGTGTCTGAGGAAACACTCAGGGTATGCCAGCCTCACTTTCCTACATGCTGTTCCCAGCGGCCACTGGGGCTTCCCAGAGCCAGCTCTGGAGCCTTCCCACCTTCCTTCCAGCCTGGGTGAGGAGGAGCATACTGCTGTGGACTCAGGGGAAGATGTGGTTCCCCTGAACTAAGCTTCTAAGTGCAAACACTAACGGCACAAGGAAATGGAAGCAGAGACCATGTGGTTCTCCACTCAAGGCCACCAGAACCAGGAGCTCCATCTGGGCGTCTCCCTCATGCTGTCCATGAGGCTCAGGTGTCTACAGAGACTGGACACAACCAGGAGAAAACAGATGTAAGGCAGAACCAATAAGGCAGAAGATTCCAGACCCCAGAGACTGTAGGTGGGTGGAGAAGCAGATG